AAAAAGAATAAATAAATTTGTGTCAATTATATCCTCCCTCCCTCTCTCTCCCCCTTCTTCCTTCCTAAAAAGAAAAAAAAAACAGCGTTATCAGCTATCTGAAGTCCTTTCCCAGTCAATACCACTCTTCATCAAAGATAAACAAAATTTAAAATCATAGATGTGTCTTTCCCATGTTGGAATTTAATGTGAACTAAAACTATGTAGTATTTATTCTCAAACTATGTTCTGATATAGGTGTATATTCTACTACTTATTCTCCTGCAGATGGGCAAGTATACCCATTCTTGGTATAGGCTGCATTTGGATTTTTGTTGTGTTTGTTGTTAAACTGCTTAAATGCTAAAACTCAGAAGATACCCATATCAATTTTCAAAACTTTTCAATTAAACTCAGATCTTGCAACTGAAAACTGTCAGTCTATCAGCTGACATTATTTTGATCACCAGATATATATTTGATTACATTATTTTATAACCAAAGAAACATCTCATTCTTGTGGCCAGAGGAGCAAAATACACACACACACACACACACACACACACACACAAACACACACATACACACACAGAGAGAGACAGAGAGAGTTCAAGCCAACCCTTCCCACAAAACCTAGTGCAGATCTAGTAAAAAACACATAATCAGTGAGTGCTTCTTAAACAGGACAGTGAATAACAGTAGACATCATTTATAGAGTCTGTGGGATATAACAAACAGAAATGTTTACATTCATTGTTCTAGTTAATCTCCTCAACAAACCTGAGTTGACAAGAGATACCTTGGTTTTTTTACGGGAGGGCCTTTACCTTTACCTTTACCTTTTTTTATTTTTTAAAGTAAAAGTAAAGTAAAGGCCCTCCCGTTGATCGTCGATTTGCTCGAGCGGGCCCAGTAACGTCTCCATTGGAGACTTTGTTGTTACTGTGTCTGGCATATCGAATACTCTCGGTAGCTTGCCGGGCTCTCCGAGAGGGGCGGAGGAATCGAACTCGGGTCGGCCATGTTGGCCGCTTGTAAGGCGAACGCCCTACCCGCTGTGCTATCGCTCCGGCAAGCTACCGAGAGTATTCGATATGCCAGACACAGTAACAACAAAGTCTCCAATGGAGACGTTACTGGGCCCGCTCGAGCAAATCGACGATCAACGGGAGGGCCTTTACCTTTTATTTTTTACCAGTTCACAAATCCCTGTGTTCTCTGACATATTTCTCCTCATACGTATGTCCACAGCTGCCATATTTTGACTCTATGGCCTCACCCCTTTGGTTAATTGGACCAGCAGTACATCTCAACCAATAAGCTTCTCTCAAAAATTTGCATTTGTTGGGGCCTGAGCGATAGGACCACAGGTAGGATGTTTGCCTTGCATGCAGCCCACCCAGGTTCAATCTTCAGCATCCCACATGGTGCTCCACGCACCACCAGGACTAATTCCTGAGTACAAAGTCAGGAATAACTCCTGAGCATCACTGGATGTGACTCAAAAAGAAAAAATAAATCACATTTGCTATGGAAAGATGATCAGGAGGCTACAATTGAGGTACTGTGAACTAATCCCATGCTGCAGTGTGACTTTTTTAAGTAAATAATGGAGAAATATTTGTGCAATCATGAAAAAATTATGAGACTAAGCAGAGATCAGAGGAGGAGTCCTGTCTGGGGTCCCATCTGTTACTCTGGCCCTAACCCCAGAACTTCAAAGAGCCCAGAATAGGATTCTAGCAAGTTCTCCTTTTCTGCTTAAAATAGTTCAAGTTAGGTTTTAAGAGACATCACAGTGGGTAAGGTTGTCTTGCACATAGCCAACCCCCAAAACGTCAACACCTCCCAGCACCGGGGTATTTAGAAATAATCCCTGAATACAGAGGCAGGAGTAACCCCTGAGCACTGTCAGTTGTGGCCCCCAAATTTAAAAAAAAAACACATTTCGCATTGACTATTATTAATTACTACCAAAATTAAAAGTTCTAAACTAAAATGGACAAATATTTTTCCTTTCCATGTATGAAACGTCAGAATTGAATTGCTGTACTTCTGGTTGGTGTCTGGAGAGTTAGGTAATTAATTATTGACATGGAAAACACTCCAGATTGTCCAGAAACACTACTATTCCAGTTTTCTCTCGTATCACTCAATCACACTCAACATTATTCTCAATGCTCTAAGATATCTGTGTCCCTGGAGCCTCTTGATCTCTCAACAGCAGCATCACCACTGCATATGCGCTCGATTGACTCCCCGACAACATCAAAGCATCCCAGCCACCTGATAAGATCTTAATTGGACTTGACCTCAAGGAGCGAACCTCAACAAAGTCTTCGAACATCCACAGATTGGTTTAAGTGTCTTTTCTTCGCACACATAAGACTCAGAAAATTTACCGTTCTGGAACCATTTGTTTACACATCTGTCATTTTCTAACATTCACATGCTTCTTAAGGACAGCAACCTGGTTTTCTGCTTCAGTTTTTCACCAGCACACAGCAAGTGCTGTGCCTGTGTAAGGCATTAGTAAGTGTCTATGGGATGCATCAAGCGTGTTTGGGATGCATCGAGTGTGTAGGGGATGTATCTAGTGTGTATAGGATGCCTCAATCATTGAAGGCAAATTAGATATATGGATGAATAGATGTGTGGTAATTGGAGGTTTGTATATATAACTTGATGGTTGAATAACTAGGACAATAGAACAATAAGAAATGGATTGTGAGGGAATTGGGAGCCGCAGAGATGAGAGGCAGGATGGAAAAGATGGATGGAGAGGTGGACAGATGGGTGGATAGACAGGTGAATGAACTGGAAGAGAGTAGGATAGATAGCTCATTAAGTGAGATGGCTAGGTGGGTAGATGAATGATAGGAAGAAAGAAAGGATATTTTGAAGAATGGGAAGATGGATGAGATAACAGATGGATAGTTAGATGAATCAGTTCTTGGATAAGTATCCAAGATGATTCAGTTCTTACCTGTTGAAATCTGGTGTTCAGCCCTTAGGCCATCTTGGTGGATTTCTCTCAGAGTTCTGTTGTCTGCTAATAACTCTGAAATTCAGCATGTATAAAATCAAACTTAGATTCTTCTTCCCCTAACCTGACTCCTTTCCAGGGTTCTGCTCCTCAGAAAACATGGTTTGTAAAAAGAGATATTCAGGACTCATCTTGACTCACTGAACTCCTTCAAGCCCAGTCCAATTGCTAAGTCCTTCTGACTTTATCTCTGATGTCTCTCTGAGTGGTCCATCATCATTCTCTGGTTCTGAGAGGGTTGGGCAGGTTTGGCTGTAAACCTGAGTTCTGGCTCTCATTGGTTAGAGAATCTTAAGCATGCTACAATAAACCTCCCTGCTACAGATGAAAAAAGATGGAAAAAACACGGTCCCTTCTACAGGGTTCTGGAGGACAGAGTTAACGCAGGCTGAATGGTTGACAGAGAGAGGGTGTAGTCACTACACAGCCCTGCCTGATGGGCCTGGGTCCAGCAGCAAGAACGGATGCAGTTTCTGCTCACCTTTTGGTCAGCTTAGCCTAACGCAAACCTGCAGCACTAAATGCAAATTTTCAACCAACCCCCTGAAGTAGGCAGATAGATTGGGGGCTGTGGGGGGGGGGGGGGACTTCAAACAGATCTGAACAATGAGGATCCTCCTTCTAGGACCCATGCCCTGCCCTAGGTTCTGCAGTCCCACTCCTCCCCAACTAAATCTTTCCCCACCCTCCCTCTCCCCCAAAGTCCTCTAGGATTCACTCAGCCCCCAATGCTCTTTCCTTTCGACAAAAGGAAAGGGTCTTGCAAGGGTCCATGCTCTCCTGTCTCCAATTAAAGATAAAGCTCCCCAGTTGGAAAAGCAGCGCCACCTGTCTGCAACCCCACTATCACCACAGTTAAAGGGTAGGTTTGGGGAGTCACATTGCTGGGGCTCAGGGCTACTGCTGCTGTGTTGCTGGTCCAGGTGGTGGGAGGTTTTTCTGGGGGTACTTGATAGCTCGTGCCTTACAGAGAAGGAAGGACCAGGAACTCCTGTAGACCCTGCGCTCCATCCCTTCAATACAGCCCCCTGACCCTGAGGATAGCGTTTCTATCCATGACTATTCTACAAGCATACAAGGAGCATGTCAAAGATTTTATCTCCTTAACTAGCAGGGGAACTAAAAGACTCAGGAAGATGAGAAGACCCCAAAGAGTGGCCTCTGGAGACCCAGTATTTAGCTGCCCTCCTGCCCCCAGCCAGGAGGGCTCAATTGTCATCATCTGTGCAGAGATTCAGAGACTAGAGACTAGGAAATGCTCCCAACCCCCAAATCCCAGGCATAGGGCCCTCAGAGTAGAATGAAATCCAGCCTGGGCAGGAAGCTTCCAACCTGATTCTAGACAAAGGATCTTTCCCAGTGGGGTAGGCTTCAGTCCAGTACCTCAACAGTCCACGACCTCTATTCCCATTCTCCACACTGAGTATCAGATCCCCCATCCCCAATAAAAAGACGCTAACCAAATTCTGTGGTGGTGTAACTCAGCCCCCTGGGGACCCCAGGATATTCTAAAATGGGGTCACAGGTGAAAATCAAGTAAATTGGGGTCCACAACACAAGAGTAGGGGGATAACTGGTAGGACAGAGGGGAGAAAGGCACAGGAATGAAACGGGGTAGAAATGGGGCCAAGGGGGCCAAAAATTGAGACATACAACTCTAGAGCATCCTAGCAACAAACCCCAAAGTCTGGTCCTTTGGGGTTTCTCAGAACACCTCACAGTCCTGAGAGGGTACTGTGTGTCTTCTGGATATTCTTCTGTCTAGACTCCCTACTCTGCTTTTGAATAAGTGAACCCACACACCTCTGTGCCCCAGAGATGTCACCCAGTCCGTGTGACCTCTTGTGGAAGCCTCAAGAACAAGAACAGAGGGAGAGTTTAACCACTGTGTCACGAATCATAGGCTGGACCGACCTACCCCAGAGATGCTCAATGCAGCCTTGTCTAGAAATGAGCAAAGCTAGTCACAACCTAGATGGCACAGACATTTGGTGACATCAAGGACCCCCACCCGACGCAAAGCGAGTCAGAGAGACCATCAGCAAGTGGCCTCCCTGGCCAGAGCAGCCCTGCAAAAGGGGAGGGAAGGACATGAGCAGGAGAAATGGACACAAAGTCCAAATCTGGCAGTGACCTGCATTTACCTTCTTCTCTTCTCTCCCGGGGTTTCCCCAAGCTCCCACACAAAGATGGTTTGGTGAATGGGTAGGAAGAGAGTCTCATTCAACTCCAGGGAACTGGACATGCCACCACCTGGCCAGTGGCAGTCAGTTCCAGTCAGAAAGAACAAGTTAGGTGCAACCACCCAACATAAAAACTCTAAGGCTGTAGAGAACACAGGAATGGACTCCAAGTAAGCCCTCCACCCACATGTGCTACTCACCACCACACACACACACACACACACACACACACACACACACTCACACACACACATACACACACACACCACAAACTGCCATCAAACAACTAAAACATTCCCCTGTAAGAGTCTACAGGTGTCAGACACATTTACAGAGCAGTGCAGTGACATTGTCCATCGTGACCTGGGAGCCCTGGTGCCCCCAAGCCCAGCCCTCTGGGCCTGATTTCCCCCTTCTTTCTCTGGTCCTTGTTTATCTATAAAATTAGACCTGGCCTTGATGGAGGGTCTCCCAGGACTGAGCACCATCGCCCTCTGTTCTGCCTCCATTCAACCTCACCCCCACCCCAGCCTGGCACCAATGTACCCACATCAGCCTCAGATGGAGCTGGAACCCTCAGACTTGGGCCCACCCTGTCCCCCACTGTTGGGGGGGAGGCTCGAAGGAGCTATCACCAAGGGAAGCCGGGCATTGGCCTCACTCCCCCCGCATCACCCCCTTCTCACTCCTAGGGCCCACAAAGTTCCCTCTGCCTCTATCCAGGAAAACCAAGACCTGCAAAGGAACTGGCGGGGCTGGGATGGAAGAGAACTGGATTCTCCTCCAGAGCTTCCCTGTACCTGCTCACCCCTGTCAGGTCAAGGACCCCCCCCCCCCCAATTCCATGCCCCTGTCCCAGCTCTCCGCTTCCCCTATGGTCCCTAGGCAGCATTTGGGGCCTGGTTTGATCTCTATGAGCCATTTTCTAGCTGCCATCAACAAAATTGGAACAGGCCCAAAACAGGGTCCCCCTGAAAGGGATTGAATAAACACTTCCCTCCAGTGTCTGGGTGGCAATGAACTCTGTTGACATGAGAAAACAGAGGTGAGGGGGTGTCAGGGAGCCCCAAAGTGCACAAGGCCCCAAAGTACAGTGTGGATGGAAAGATCTGGAAGCCAGGAGCCCTGGCTTGAGCCAGATGTGGTTACGGGGACAGGCATTCTTTGTCAGAGCCAAGCTCTGGGTGTGCAGGATTTAGGGGTGGGTGTATAGTGGGCTCGGGGGGCTAGAAATTGGTGAGTGGGTCACTATGGAGAAGCAGGCCTCACCAGGACCAGCAGACATCTGGGGAGCAAGCGCCAGAACAGGGCTGCTGTCCACTAGGAACAGGAGACCTTGCTGGGTACACCTGCCTTCCGGGGGGCTATGGCAGGGGTCTCCAAGATCCCACCTTCGTCTCTCTTCCACCAGTCTGGCCGGCCTTTCTGGGAGATGTCGTTTGTCCACCCGTGTGTGTGTGTGTGTGTGCGCGCGCACGCGTGTGTTTGTGTGTGTGTGCTTGTGTATGTGTGTGTGTGTGCATTCCTGTTTCTGCTCCGGCCTGTCTGGGTTCTCGATCCACACCTGTCTGTCTTCTGCGGGTCTGTCTGTCCGTCCAGCCTCCTGCGTCAGGCTGGCGCACTGGCCTCTCTGCAGCTCTCTGCCCCGCCTGCCTGCTGCTGTGTGGGTGTCGGGCTGGCTGTGCACTGAGGGGCGCGGCTGGGCCCTCCCCCTTCGCCGAGTTCCCCCCCTCCAATCCCTCCCCCCCTCCCCGTCTCTAGAATGACCCGCGCGCCAGTCCTGCCTGCGTCGCTTTAGCCCGGGAGCTGCGGGCGCAGCACAGTCGGAGCTGCGAGCGTGCGGCCGCGCGGGGCACGCGAACGGAGCAGACGTGGCGTGGCGAGCGGCCGGACGAGGGTACGACAGGGCAGGAACCCGGGGCGACCGCGGAGACCCCCCGGGCCGGGGCAGGGACGGTGGGCTTCGCGGGCAAGGGAGGCGGATAGAGCCCGGCCCCGCCCCGGTCGGCCCGGTCCGGGTCCGGCCCGGCCCGGCCCGCCCCTACGCGCCGCGCCCCCCGCGACGCCGGAGCCCGAGCGCGGCGGCCGCCGAGCCGGACCCCGCGTGGGAGCCGGCGCCTGAGCGGGAAACCCCGGCAGACCCGAAGCCGGAGCCGGCCGCGCGGCGCACCGAGCGGAACCAGGCGGCCGAGCCGAGTAAGGCGCGCGGGGCCGGGGGCGGCGCTGGGGAGGGGCGGCGAGGGGGTCCCGGCCCCCGCTCCGTGCTCTGCGGCGGCCCCGGTACCCGCACCCCGCTGGGGAGCGGGGCGCCCGGGCACGGAGCGTCGGGAGGGCGGCCGTGCGGTCCGGAGGGGACTGCGGCGCGTCCCGCCTGCTCCCGAGCGCGCCTGTGGCCCGCGGGCTCCGGGGGCTCCCCTCGATTCGCGTCCCGGGGCGTGTTCCCCGAGGCGGGCGTTAGACAGTCTCCGCCGCCCCCGCGTCTCTGGCCTCGGGCACCCCGGAACCGTCACCCCCGCGCCAAGGGGAAACCGGGACACACTCCGGCAGCGCCGACGAGGAGGGCCCCGGGTGTGCGGAGTTTGAAGTTAAAGCCCGAGCCCCAGCCCCGAGCCAGAAAGTTTGACCCTCCGACGGACGGATCGGCCGCCGAGACCCCCCGCTTCGGTGCCTGCGGCGCTGGCCTCTCTGGGTCCCCACCCGGGGAGGGGGAAGGTGTTGACGGGTCACCCCCGCCGCCCCTTTCCCACTTCGGGGCGGACGTGATCGTGCGCTCGGAGTCCGAGGCGGCTGCTCGGGCTCCTCTTTTGCGCACGCGACCTCGAAGGCTGGGGAGCGCCTCCTCCACCCGGGCCGGCTTGCTCTCCCCCAGACCCCATCTCCCCCTTCCTCTCCCCCACACCCCATCCCCGCTGCGCAATCTGGAGGCGTTTGCGCGGATTGCTGGGGGGGGACCGCGCGAGGAACCGGCCCCAGGCTGAGGAGAGCGCATAAGTGACAGGTGGAGGCAGGGGCGGGAGGGGGTTTCTCCAGGAACCTGGGCCTTGATCTTGGGGAGGGGCGCCAACCCCCACCCGGGCCCCTCTCTTCCAACATGCTGAGCGCTAACTTCAGCCTGTGCCTCGATTTCCTCGACTGACAAGCAGTCAGGATTTGGTTGTGAGCAGACAGACGGTGAAGGTTTTCAGGACCGGAGGGCGCGCGCAGCTGCATTCCGAGCCCTGCGAGCTTAAGCAGAAACACTCATCAGCCCTTGAGCCTCCTTTCCCCCACCTGGAGCCTGGGGGTGAGGGGTGGGAGGGGGGCTGGAATCAGATACTGCGGTTTTGGGGGGTCCAGCATGGTGACTGCTGTCAACGGGCAATTCTCCCTGGCTACAGGTGTCATTTGATGAAGTGTGTCTGCTGATGCTGGGACAGGGTGAGTTCCCCAGTTGACAGGATCGTGACACCCCCTCCTCGGAGGTCTCTGAGCATCCCCCTCAGTGCCTCAGTGACGTCTCATTGCGACGCAAAAGGCTCTCCTGCCCTTCCTCCAACTCCCTCCTCCCAGCAGCCGGCCCCTCCCCATCCCTCTCCAGGTTGGAAAAGACAATGACGCAGTTGAATGGCTTCTCCTAGGGCCTTTGGTCAGGTCCGCTGCCCTGGCAGAGGGCTCCCCCAATATATCCACTGGGGAATTGGCACCTCTGCCTCCCTTCCAGGGGGATGGGGGAAGAGGAAGCTTGTTTTCCCTTGGGAGGCCCAGGCTGCCAGGCTGCCCGGCAGTGACTAGAAGGTTCCAGCCATACAGAGTGGTGGGGGGGGGAGGTGAGGGGGGGCGGTTTGGGAGGTCTGAGGTGGTGCCAGCTCTGGTTCTCTAAGTGGCTGAGCCATGAGGCACCAGAAATGGAGCCTTGATTAGTAGGTAGAAGCCAGAACAAAAAGTCACCCCCATCCCCCAAGAAAGGTCCAGTCTGTGTGGCTGGGGGTTTCCACCCAGGAACCTAGGGGGGCATAAAGTGTTCTTGGAGGTACCATGTCATAGTATGTCATCAAGATTCTTGTGTGGATTAACCAAAGATCCAGCCTGTGAACTGTGATAGTCCCAGCCACCTGTGACTCAGTTGCCCTGCAGAAGAGGGTTTTCGGGAAGGTTCTGGTTGGACAGGATGAATGGCAGCCTGGGGGCTCCTCCTACATAGAGCACCCCCTCTCTTCTTCCTCTATAGCCTCCGTCACCCCTCCCCCATCCCACCCTCCCACCCAGCTCCCCATCACTCACTAGGATGTCACCCCCTCCCCCCACATCTTGTATAACCCTCATCTCTTTTTCCTAACCCCACTCATCAGAAGCTAATGAAGAGGTTTGTGACTGCTGGTTTGCAGAGCCTTTGAAATGACGCAGCTGACAGGAGACAGCATGGGGGACTGGGCATTCCTGGTCTTTGGGAACGTCCGTGAGGGGATCTCTGGAGCCTGAACCTGAAGCCTGACCTGGAAGAGCTCCGAGTGCAGGAGAAGAGATGGGAGGAAGATGCAGATCTGCTCTGAGTCCTAAAGGGAGAAACTGAGGCTGGGGTATCCTTAGCAGTTGAGCACAAAATACGAGTTGGGGTTGAGTATATTGGATTTCTTAGAGTTGCTCTTCTGGGGTTTATGGCCCCTGATTCTGGACAGATGGACCTTTCAGAGCCTCAATTTCCTCTTGAAAATGGGAACAAACACAATATACTTCCTTCCACAGTTATGCAAATGGGATAATATAGCTAGGAGAACACAGAGCCTTGCAAGGCAAAGGGAGCTCCTAGTTCCAAGGACCTGGCTGTGTGTATGTTTTCACTCTCTCTCTTTTGTTTCTTTAATTCTAACAGCCCTTTAGTTAGATGTTTTCACTGTTTCCATTTTCTAGATGTGACTGTTGAGGCTTGGAAAGTTGGCTCTTGAACTTAGCCAGAACTAGAATATTGAAAAATCACTGTGACTCATCATAATTTCAAGTTGGCAAAATTGATAATTAGCGCACTGTATATTAGATAATTAGTAACTATGACAATTCTCTAATGTATATGTTTGGTCATTTCATATCTACATATTCATTGCCCAGAAGCTATATAGGAAACAACTTTAGTACGTAGACGGGCTCAAAAAAGCAGCCCCCACCTCATTTTCTCTTCATTTTCCTCCAGAGCATTTCCTACCCCTGACATGTAGATGCTTCACTCATTTCTTTATTGCCTGCTCTCCTCACTGTAAACCCTCCAACAGCTTTTGACCATTTTGTTCACTATGATATTCCCAGCATCTAGAAGAGCCCCCAGCACTTACAATGTGTGTTCAAATAAGAAGGGTCTCTAAACCTGAGGTCCAATAGTGTTCATTTCGCCAAATATATTTGTTGGGACAGCAGTCACATGTAGCTTAAGTATGGGAATATGTTCTGAGAAGTGCATCATTTGTCATCTTTGTCATGGTGTGAATATCACGGGGTATAATTATACAAACCAGGAGGGTATTGCCTGCAACACACCTAAGCATTTAGGTAGACCCTTTTGGAATCACATAGTACATATTGTCTGTCATTGTCCAAACTATTGAATAACTCAGGAATAAAAAACAAGTGGTTTTCAACCTTTTCACACCTGACAATCTGTCCAAAGAGCAGCAATAGTTTGCATATTGCTAAGAAAAACAAACAAACAAAAAACCATTATTCACAGTGAGACTGTTCAGATAGTAAGACTGACAATCACACCAACACATGATCTAGGCACATTGTATGTTAAGGCATTAACATCTTCGTGGACAGACAGGAAATTTCTGTGGACTGGCAACAGCAGTTGGAAAGTTCTGCAGAAAAACATTCAAGTTTATGGCAGAAACCATTCCCTAAAAGAGAAAAAAAAAGCGATGGGCATTAAAAACAGTAGAAATTATTTTCCGAATATTTTAATAAAGTTTCTTATTAGTAAATTCGGAGACAAGTTATGTTTTTAATCTTTGCAACAAGTGACATATTCAAAGGCAGTTATGTAAGCTCTCAACCCTTTCAATGAACTTAGCTATCCCTGACTTAATTATTCTCTATGTAGCTAGCACAAAGGGCATTTTTTTAAAAATATCTTCATTAATAATTTTATGTTATGAAACTAATATATGATCATGGTGGGAAATCTGAAAAGACAAAGCTAAGCACATAAAAAAATCCCTTTTTTGCCCCAGCACTGCCCAGAAAGCAGCATGAAGATTCATGTACTTCCCTATTCTGAGGGCTCACACAGGCGCCCTCAGCCCCTGTGAATAGCCTGTTTTATTTCCTTTCTAATCTTTTACTATGAACAAACATTTTTTCCTCTGGTCTCAGCTTTCAAAAAAAGATGAGAATCAGGGGGCATAGAGGGTAGGGTGTTTGCCTTGCATGCGGCCAACTGGGGTTCGATCCTCAGCATCCCATATGGTCCCCTGAGAACAGCCGGGAGTAGCCCCTGAGTATTGCTGAATTTGGACCAAAAATAAAACAAAACAAAAACAATCATCATGTAGGTAGCTCCATACCTGCTTTTTGTGTTACAAATGTGTGCTGTACGTGGACTTCACCCTACCGATACTGGTACCCAGGGGCTTTCTTTTCAGTCATTGAGTTCATTTTCTGCCAAGTCACGCATGCTCCACGGCCTCCAGCTTTCTCCCCCCCATCCCTCCGCCTCCTACACTGTGACCCGGACCCCCGCCCCCATCCCTTCCCCCCTTATATGTTCCAAAGGGGACCGAAAGAAAAACCCTCTCCGCCTCTGTATGGTCGGTCCAGGGTGGGGGTGGGGGTGGGGGTTCTGTTTTGAAACGCTGTGAGCAGACAACATGCGACCAGGGTTGAGCAGACCCACGTAATCCAGGAGTCACCTCCCCCCACACCTCTGCAGTGGGTGATCCGGGTCCCTGGGCTGCGCGCGCGTCTGTGCCATGTGACCGCGCACCAGCCCAGGCAATCCTGCACAACCTCCGCCCGCGCTCCGGCGCGCCCCCGCCTGTGCGACCAGTGGCGCGGTGGCTTGCGGTGGCGGTGGCGCGCAGTGGCGCGCGATGGCGCGATGGCGCCCGGCTAACCAGCCCCATGGCGCTACCTACCCGCGCCAAGACTCCCCCAGGACACCACCTAGCCCCGCGCTGCCATGTGCATTGCAAGCTTCCCGGTCATTTTCTCACACTGCCATTCTCCATCCA